GTAGGGAAATAGTTATATATAAGGATTAGCGTCAAAGTTTAAAATAACTATTTCTCTCTGGAAAATTCAGTAATTTTCAATTTATTTTTTCTTTAAACAAATTTTACCTCTAAAATTAAGTAGGGACATATTTCCAAAACTAAACACTATTTTTAAGAGCTGTTCATTTACATCGAAGGATTCATTACCAGGAAAACTTAAAATGAGAAACTACTCAAAAGTATCCTTACAAAGCCATAAAACACTTGTTACATCTGATTTTATCACCCAAATAATTGTATTCATAACAAATTTATCATGCAGCTAATTTAACTTGTCTAAGTGAAAATAAGATGCAGTATATTTGCAATATCTAGTCTCCGGGGCCACATTTCAATTATTCTTCCTACACAGCATAATGACACATAATTAAATCGTAATCTTGCCAAGACAATTTTACACATTTCCTGTAAATACACAGATCAAAGCAAACTTATTAGCAGTTGGAGCATCTATCATCCTCCTAAGCCACTAATCACTTTACTGCAGCCAAGATAACAGGTCGATGGATGTTTAACGTACTCTGGGCATACACGGAAACTTTCTCTAGTTTCCATTTTTAACATAGAGTGTTTTACTGAATTTCAAGATGACAATTCAGGTTACCAACGTGACTCATACTATCCAAGTGACCCATAATATACCATGAAGTTAAATTTATACCATGGCTCTCAATATTAATTCTCAGCATTAAGCGGTCCTTCTGCAGGATACTTGCACTTCTTCAGAAAACAAAATGTAACAATTACTATAAAAATAAAGTGTTTAATTTACTTGAAAGACCTGTTCAGTGGTTAAAGCCATCAATTACAATATTACAGGAATACAGATTCTGACAATTAGTTGATTTTTTTTTTATATAATGCAAACCAGCATGCAGAATTTCCTTCTGCTTATCCACTGAAAAACAATCCTATAATTCCAAATACAACTTCTTTAAATAAAAGTGACTTCAGTAAAATACTACATCTACAGAGAGCATGCATTAAGTCACCTTTTGCATAAGTAATTCTATAGTTGATTCTGATGTAATCCTGGCAGATTCATGGAGAAGACCAACAGTTTACAAATGATCAACTCAGACCTGTTCTACACTTCAGTGTACGTGTATCAAAAACAAAACCAACGCAAAGCAAGTAAATGCACATCTTACCGTATTTATAGTTTACAGAAGGTAACTTTTATAGCGTATTACTGTTTAAATCAACATAAACCTCTGTTTATTAGAGCAGAAAATATTTTATTTAAAAGCTTACCACTTAAAAAACTATACCCACCTCACAAAATAACGTAAGCTTGTCATCTGGTAGAAGACCGTTAGCTTCATCTAGTAAAAAATCTCTTCGGATAAATTTCTTAAAACCCCAGTCCTTGCCTTGCACAAATCGATACGCTCTTTGGCTTTCTGATTAAAAACAGTTATGTATGAATAAAGCAAGTTAAATCAAAATATTAACAAATAACAACACCTAAAAATTCTAAATTAAGGTTAAGCGTTAATCCAAAAATGAGTCAATTTAACACATTTGCATCATGTGTCACATTTTAAGGAAACACAACTGATTAAAACTTTTTTAAATGTTGTAATAGTGTTATTTTATAAAACACTTGATAGAACTTAGCACAATTTGCAATTCAAACCGTATCATCTCCTTAGATGTTATCTCAGGCACCATTCAGCAAGAGAGGAGTTTTTTGGCTAATGTTTAAGAATGCCAATGTGTCAAAACAGAAACTGTTCACAGGGAAGTACCATTACAATGAATTTGTCATCACAAATGCATTCTGACAACACTTCAGCAGTTGTCATAACAACCTGTTTTGACTTCTTCCTGAAATGGAAAATCTTGTTTCACAGGTTGAAATTATTTTGAAATACAGTAAAAGCATTTAAAAAGCAAAACAGAAATAAAAGCTTCCAAGTAACAAACTATTTTTTGGTCATAAAAAGATATTGTTTATTTTTACCGTTTAACCATAATTAGGACATTTTTTTTCAATCCAGCAGATTTGCTGTGACCACATAACTCTTTTTCCCAGTTCCAATGCTCACAGCCCGCAAAAGGGTTCTCAAGGTGTCACAGTAGTGCAAACAAGTGCAATTCAGTTAAGATTAGGTATTTTACATGGCATGTTCACCATGAAGTGGCCACTTGTTCCACACACTGAACCACGGGATAGAGCACCGTATACTTTTACGCGTAACTAAAATACGGGAAAGAGGTTATTCGGGAATGGCTTTGAAAATATATGTAAAACAAACCACATTCTGAATTATACTTAGAAAGATCGTTCAAAATGAAGAGAGCAAGAATACTTCAGAAATAATACCAGAGCAGAGGGGGGAAAACAAAAAATCTCAAGAGTTTTCTAAGATGGAACTTTCCTCTCACTCAAAAAAAGCTGGACAAGAAACACATCACCATTTCCTTTGCTTATGGATAGATACTCTAGTCTTCTGGAGAGCGCTTTAGAAATTTAAGTCACAAGTTTTTTTATAAAAGCAAAGTATTTTTTATTACGGAATCTGTTAAAACATCATTCCTTCTACAACATCCAAAATAAAGGCCATAGGAAAGTCAGACTTCTCTGCACTAGTTAAGTTAGTAGCATCACTGAAACAGACTTGACCACTTAAAACATGTATGTTAGAAAATGTACATGTGTAATACATTGTCCTCACTGCTAATAGCTAGAAAAATGATATTTACATCAGGTTTTTAGTAGAATTAGATCAAGCAAAATATATTGTACAGGTTTCAATAGTATTGTTTTTAATATAATGAAGAACGACCCAGGAACTGACAATGCAGGAGGTGTCTCCATCCCTGTCACCTTATCACACTATCTTCAAACAAAAAAATCCTTATCTATGCAGAAGAGGAAGAAAATGCACTTAAAGTGCAGTGTCGGTCACAAAACAAACAGAATGCTGTTCACATTTTTAAATCTCTAAGCCAAGGAACAAAAATTGCCATTTTAAAAAACAGTATCAGTTTTCTGGCATGTGGATTAGTGGTTTCACATTTTTATGAGTTTGCCAAAAATTCCCAATAAACCTAATGAAATTGAATGAAAAAATAAAATCAGAAAATCACATTTAAAAAAGTGTTCAAAAATTTGTTCTCTAGATTCAGCTCAATTCTTTATTCTGCAGATTTAGATTTTACAGTTATCAGCAAAACCCAATATTAACCCTCTGAAATTAAGTCATCAGTAACAATTTGAGCATAGAAAAATACACTTTATTCTTCTGGTTTTGTTTTTTCCAATAAAGTTAAAATGTTAGTTCATTACCTATTTTATACACAGCTTCATCGCTTGAACCAGCAGTCTATGCATAAATTATCAATTTGCAATCGACATCATTATACTATATAAATAAAAACAGAGCATCTCCAGAAGCAGATGATAAATAGTTGGAAAGTCCAAGAAATAAAGATTTCTGTTGGTAATTTCCCCAAATGAAAATATGTTTCCAATTCTTGTAGTGCCAAATACAGGTTAGCTACTATTGCAGAAACTGAAGACACATCTATACTCATAGGATTTTGGGGGTTTAGCACCTGGTCATTTTTAGTATTTAAAGTAGTACTTGGCAAAAAACCTTCAGATTCTCAAAACCCCTCCAATCCTACACTGCACATCCCTCACTTAGGATAGCACTACGAAGAGAGTTCTCATACGTTTTCTGGGAAATCAGCAGAACTGAGCACCTCTCTGAAGTGCCCATAAACTCATACACACAGCATGGGGAAGAAGCAGGAGAAATCAGAAGTCCATGTGCAGTTGCAAGGCTACGATCTCCTTGGCCAGCGACACAGTGGGATAGCTCACACGACTGGAGTGCTGCAGGGGATGGGGAGCGGCTCTTTAGGGAGGCCAGGCCAGGAAGGTGAGGCACAGGAGCTACCCTTTACATGAGAACCGCAGGAACGCGTGGAGCTCTGCCTTGCAGTGGATGATGAACCAGTTGAGGTTTATGGGTCAGGACCAGAGGCCAAGCCAATGTGAGCAATGTTGTGCTCAGTGTCTGCTACAAACCTACCAATCAGGAAGGAACGGGTGACTGGCAATTGGGGTCCTGGTGGACAACAAACAAACAAGAGCCAGCAATGAACTCCTAAGGCAAAAAAAGGACCAGCAGCATCTAGTTAAACAGGTTGCCCAGACAAGCTGTGGAGTCTCCATCCTAGGAGACATTCAAAGCACGACGGGTCCCAAGCAAACTGCTCTAGTTGATCTTGCTTTCAGCACAGGGTTTGGACTAGACAGCCTCCAGAGGTCCCTTGCAACCTCAACAATTCCGTGACTCTGATTATCTCAAAACATTTTTTGATGCATGCACCGCAGTTTCATTTAATTACATACACCAATTCACTACTGGACTGGAAGACTGTCTCAAGCCAAAAGCTGTGATCCACCAAACATATGGAAGCATAGATTTCTTGATGTAAGTTCCAGAACCAGGAGGCTTGCAGGGATTGAAGCAACAAACTCTATCAGTGGAAGAAGATAAGAGTGAAATATATACATTTACTTTCTTTCTAAAAAGGCTAATCATTAAATTTTTAAATTTGAACTCAGTTTTGTGGATTTACTTTAAAGATTATAAGCGGACCTAGTTACATAAGGAGAAAGAAGCATGAACTTCGAGTATGAGCACTGGAGAACTATAGATTTTTCCAAGGAATTCCAAACTTGCAACAGAACAGACCCTGCAAGATCTCGTAAGTCCTGGAGTAAGAGGAGGGAAGAAAAGTAGACAGTTGCTTCATATACAGGACCAGCAGCAACACGAACTCTGTGCAGATCAGCATTAAATCACATGTTTTCATCAAAATTCCAGCTTTCCCAAAAAGCGTGTCCTATGAAGTCTGTACTTGTAAGTTTGAAACTGAGCACCACACATTTTTCATATCAAGAAGGCAATTAAATCAAATCATAAATTATTTCAAAGTCTTCTAATTCCTTGGGTACATGGCTCATGTTTTTAAACTGATTACAGTATAAATCAGATGAAATAGACCAAAATATTTTAAAGGAGTGTCTGAAAAACAAACATGCATGTTTATCCTAATTAAGGATGGAAATCAAACGCTTACTTCCACTGTAGCTAGACACAAGCAAACACATCCCTACTAACAGGAAGCACAAACAATCTGCTAGAAAAGTTAAGTGACAAGAAACTGGAGTGACAGCAGTTCGCAATGCACTGTAATGTATACTGCTTAGGATAGAATTAACACAGCTCAATAATCAGAAATGTGTGAGACATGAAACAGACTTTTACTTACATTTCTAAAAGGATATTAAACAGATATTTTAAAGTTCATCTCAATATTAAATTCTGTTCTCAACTGAGAAAAATTACAACACTGATTATCTTTGGGATGTTCTTACAAATCCACATGCAATACACTAAGATTCCCTTACCCATTGCTTTTGTTTCTTCTCTTTTAGCATTCAGGAGGGAAAATTTGAATTTTGCTCTGACTTCACTTTTTGGACAACTGACTAAAAGCAAATATAACGACAGGTAGTCTTTGCTTTCGTCGTCTAATCCCTTTGGATTCACTCTCAGGCACCTGGAAGAAATGCAGAAATTGTACATTTTTAAATTGTACCCAAAATAAATTCAGGAATATTTTTATAAGATACAATGATAGATGCTACCGAAACAAACGTTTCCCTTATGATTGTTAAAATTTTGAAATTAGAACTAATCTGTACCTACAATAAAATGTCAAGAAACATCTGAGTTTTAATATTTATCTGAAATTTAACATTGCAACTTTTGCGGGTGGAAAAAAAAAAATCAGAACACCAAAGCAATTGCTAGAGTAAAGACCTTACCACTTCATTTTGTCATTTGGCCCTGATGAAAAGGTCGAACTCTTTAAAACTTCACCCATTTCTTCTCGGCAAAAACTGAAGTTATTAATGGTCCACATGTAGGAAAATTTTACTACTTTAACCTGAACAAAAGATGTAGAAAACATCAATAAAATTTAACTTACATGTCAAGTGTTAACTATGAGAACTAGTTAGACTGTTGGCAGAACTCAATATTTTTTTTTTATTATGACTAGAAAATAAAACCATTGAAATTTATGTTGATTACCTGTGTGTAACACCAGCTTTCAGCCACAGGTCCACTGGACATCTCCCCAGGAGGAGGTGGGGTGGGAATCCTTGACATTGCCACTTATTGCAGGTTTATAGTATCAAGATAGCAATCCAAATTTCAGTAATTCTCCTAAAAAGAATAATTAATACATTTTGTTCACCCTTTTTAAGTGTGGGGGGAAAAAAAATCCATATTTTGATATCCATATTACTGTGTTTACTAAATGGTGCATTTGAAATTTAAACTTGAGGACAATGGCTTTGGTATTTAGACAAGTTAGGTGTCACACATTCGTGACCACTCGTACTCAAAATCTGCAGGCTGAGTTCTCATGCAATATTTTATAAAAACAAGTTCTTATGCATCATACAATAACACCAACAACATTATTTCAACATCACCTTCACAAATTAGCACCTTGACCACTCCAATCATGCTATAACTTTCTTCAGGATCCTCTCCTTTGATTTGGAGAGTAACTAGGGCCCTGTGAGCACTCAGTTATTGGTGCCAATCATCGGGTGTCCACACAGGCGTAATTCAGTCCTGAAAGGGCATCTAGCCACCTAGGAGTAGAATAGGTTCAAACAACCCTGGGATTTCTCAAGGGAAGGTCAGAAAACAAACTTGCATTTAAAGTAGTGTTTTCTTCACACATCTTTCATGGTTGCCTTGTTTCTTTAGCACCAACAGATTCAACCGAAGAGCTATAATCACCACCACCATGTGCTCGTTCCCTATCGAAGCACAAAGCTGAAAACCAGTTTAAGTCAACTCATCAACTCTGAAGAACTTTCTAATAGGTGACACTACACAACAAAATTGCTTTATTTGCTAAGAGAGCACTGCAATTTCTCCTGCCCATCAGGAACTGAGTCATAGGCTGAGATTCCTCACATCCTGCTACAGACACCTAATTAGCAGCCTACTTGCACTCGCCTTTGTACACAGCTAATGAAGGAAGGCGGGCCTGTCAGAGGGCAGCTCTGGGTTACTGGGCTCACTCCCCTTTAGGTAGGGTTTGCTGTCATCTTTAGACAGGCTCCTGCCAAAAGCACAGCTTCTCACTTAAGCAGCTCCATTAAGTTGCTAAAAAGAAGGGAAATGAACCCTGATCAAACCAGATGATAGTCACAATTGTTTCTGCCACACAACGTTTTCCCTCTCAGTACAGAAAGCTTCATTAAACGTGTCCTGCTACTGCTAAAGCAACATCAGAAGTCTACAATCTCCCTGCCAGGTTTGAGGGCTTCCCAATACAGGTCTTTTTACTTGTGATAGAACAGCATTAATTATCTTGCTGAAACGCGGCGACTGCACACCACTAGTCATGTTGGAACTCTTCCCCTGGGAATGGCCAACACACTTAGAAACAAGTTTTATCCAAACTGGTAAGAAGACACTGCAAGACCACATGCCAGTCAGTCACAATGTGAACAAGTTTTATTCCTATGGGAAAAAGAATTCTCTGCAAATCGCTATCATCCTCAGTGGATTCTTTCCCTCCTGCCTTGCTGGTACCTCTTCTTGCTCACTTGCGATATCAATTAGCTCTTCTACATTAAAGCCTGCCGACATGGGAATCGTTCTGAATCACAAATGTATAAAACCTTGAAAACAAAACTAATTCTCAGTTTTTATCAGATGAGGAAGCAGATGCTATATAATTAGATCCCTTAACAGATCCCTACTATGATAAGATGGAAAAAAAAAAAAAATAATTGAATAGCTCTCAATTCTCCAAAGCTAAAAACAAGAAGGAAAACAGCCCACTCCCTATTTTATCATTTGCATGAGACGCACAGGACTGTCTCATCTCTGATCTGTTCCTCAATTCTTTCGGTTCATTAGACCAGTCAGCTCCTAGTAGCCGTGAAGGAGCAGCAGATCTGAGCCGAGTTTGCTCTGAAGGGGTCTCTAAACTGAAAAAGGCTGAAAATAACTGCTGCATAGTATCCTCTTTAGAAAGCATCCAGTGACCTTATGCCAGCTACCAGTACTTATCTGCCCCCTCCTGTCTCACAACTAAATCAGCTTGATTCACTGAGAATTTAACTCTAAGCAAAGGTGGTTATTTTCGATTATTTTCAGATCAGTCTGCTGCCTCGTCTCTGTACCTGTTCTACACATGGCATTTATGTTTCAGAGGCTGCTTCCACCTGCTGTGTGGTTTACTATTTATTTCAGGTTCTGATAGAAGCCATGATTTTACATAAGTATTTTTTTCAGCTTTTTGTAAAGTTTCTCATTATAGCATTAGGACGAGACAACTGATTTTCCTGAGCTCCTGATACGTTTTTGAGGAATAGATTTGTATCTCACTTTTTTTTTGGCATTGATTTATTAAACCAATCAAATTTTTAGATTGAGAAACCTGGGAGAAAGCACGAGCTCTGAATAGCTTGATATCCTACCGGGAGCCTGTGTTGAGGAGCAGTCTTTATTTTTTAATATGCCTGGATGCATAATTTTAAAAAAAGGAAAACCAACCAACAGCAAACTCAACAATGGAGAATGAACAAACACAGCATCAGACGCTCTGTTAAGACAAACTGAAAGACTTCCAGAAAGAGTTCAGCAGCACTGCTGATCTGCCCCTCACTTTACTTAATCCATTAATCAGGATCTGGGTGAGGACATGGGGATAGTTACCAAAATCTCAAAGTAAAAGAGAACACAAGTTTCAAAGATGTCACGGTGAAACGCAGAGGTGTTTGGGGAAGGAAGGATTTTTTCAGTCCCCAGACTGACACCCAGACCAAGTGGGCCACCATGTGCCTTACTCACTTCATACAGCCACCGATGGTCGCCAGGGCAAAGCGGACCTCGCACGGGCTGACCGAAGGTGAGAAGACACTCGCCCTTTGTTCTACGTACTGTACTCCACTTGGGGAGAAGACTAAATACTACTTTGAAGAAAGTGTTTATGAATCATTGATTAGCCACTGCCACCAGCTCCAACAAAAAGGTTTTTCAAGCACCAAACCCTCATCCCAGCCTATTAGATCAAACGGGTGGGAACAGACAAGAGCCGCAGTTCACAAAACCAGTCGAGAATGACTGGGTGGAATTCAATCAGCAGTGTGCAGGAAGACAGGCCTGTTATCTGCAGGATGAAACAACTCAGAGGGACGGACTTTCATGCTGGAACCTGCATTTACTCCTCTGCAGGCCATCATGAACAAAGCATCAGAGGTGACTGGACATTATCAGGCAATACCTCCGAGAGTTTTCAGGCAATGCCATGCCTGTCTGGACACGGCTTAACAAACCTGTCGGTCTGGCCATTTTGCCAGGCAGAAGTCCCTGACTCTCAGAGGAAACATGCACTGCGAATGCTAAAATAAGTTTTAATCAATGAAGGCAAAAGAAGTTTCTGGCTTCCAAAATGGAAATTAGAGATGTATTTTTAAAGTGTGTCAAGTACCTTTGTTGTTTTTTTGGGTGTTTTACTTAAGTGATAAACCTGTACTGAATGCAGTGCTGCAGCCGGTGATGACTCTACACTGAGAGTTTGCTTTTGCTGCCTTACCTTAAAAGAAGAAAGAAAAACTCAAAGGTATTTTACTTCACCTGTACTCCCAGACTCCAACCACCACAGGCTTAGCACTTCTACTGGTCTCTTAAAATAGGTATTGGTTTCACCTGCTTATCACTCTGACAAATAGACCAGTCTCTGCTAAATCAGGATCTTCCCTGAGCTGAGTACTACTTGCGGAGCAGAGTGGGCAAGTAGGTAGAGATAACATGAAAAAATTTTATTTCTCAAAGCATATTTTATTTAAGAATTGACTGAAGTACTTTCCTATTCAAACGAATATTTGAATTAAACTTCATGCCATCTGAAGTTGATTGTCTCTAATTATTTACCTTCACATAGAGTGTAAAGAAAGCACAGGCTAACCCTCCATAAAATATATTTATACTAAATTTCATCAAAAGCTGTATCAGCTCTATTTTCCTAACTTTTAAGGGATCTTAAGATTCAAAGGTACTTCATATACCAACGTAACATGAATTTCATCAGACAAACACTATCTTGTTTCCCTTCCCAGAAAATGAATGTTTGTCAATATTATTCTAAATAAAGTTACTTTTCAACCTCTTAGAGCCAGATGAGAACACATTCCCAGTCTCTTACATCTTATGTTGGAATAATCTCAACTTTTTTATTGAGAAAATTACTAGCTCATTAACAAAGTACCACATGCAGATAAACACACAAAGGGGAATTTCATACTCCCCCAATAATAAACCCACAAAACACTCCATAAACCCACTGGAACAATTGCCCTAAGCGTTAACATGAACTTTTGCCAGCTCTCACGTCTAAAAGCGGAAGCTCGGTGTAACAACTATATCTCAATAGTTCTTTCAGAGTTATTGTAGTGTAACAGGTGCATACAAGCAGGTGTGCATGTTAACCAGTGACCATAGCAATGTTTTATCTTTGTATTTCAATAAGGTATTACAGTCAACAAACTATTGGCAGCAATGGCCAGATAAACTGCCTTCTGCAGCGTGTATCCAACACACCCTGGAAGTCAAATCCAGCCTGCCAGAACCTAACCAACAGACCAGTTCACCAAGTAAATCAGTGACCTTGTCCTGCTCCCTCAAAAGCAACATGGAAAGCGCTTTGTGAAGAGGATGATCAGCTCCTGCTGACCCTCTTCTCTCTGATCTCCCTTCTGTTCAGGATCAAAGTGTTTCCCTCCCGGGCTGGCTGTATTTTGGCACGTCACAGGACCTCCAGCATCTGCTCACATGATATAACCGAACATGAGTGAGTTGGGCACAGTGTGGGTAAAGTCCTGTCCAGAAACCGAGTAACAAAGCAACATTTAACAGCAATGTCACGGTGCACTTCCAAACCATGACGGAGCAGAGTTTCCACAACGCCCCAGACAGAGGCTACGGAGCCTGTCCTGCCTGAAACATCAAACATCTCTAACCAACAAACTACTTCAAGCGTTTAACAGCTCATGTAAGAGTCAGAGTAACCTACTCTCTAAGAGTGACCAATATTTATACCATTTAGCAGTCTCTAAGGAAAGCCTAATAAATGACCGTGCCAATAAATCCCACATGCATGTATTGCATATTCCATTTGAATGGTGACAAGTCT